CACTTTGGGGGCACCCTGTGGTCACTCGGACATTGGTGTCACCCCTGGGGTCACTTTGGGGGTGTTGGGGACCCCCCGGGGGGGTCACCTGGATGCTCTGGGGGTCACTCAGATCTCGGGGTCCTCCCTTGGGTCACTCTGGGGATACCCCAGGGGTCACTCTGACATTGGGGACACCCCAGGGGTCACTCTGGGGACATTGGGGACACCCCTGTGGTCACTTTGGGGACACCCCAGTGGTCACTCAGACACTGGGGACACTCTGGTCACCCTGAGGTCCTTGGGGACACCCTGGGGGTCACTCAGATCTCGGGGTCCCCCCTTGGGTCACTCTGGGGACACTCCAGGGGTCACTCAGACATTGGGGACACCCTGTGGTCACTCTCGAGACATTTGGGACACCCCTGTGGTCACTTTGGGGACCCCCTTTGGTCACTCTGGGGACACCCTGTGGTCACTTTGGGGACATTGGGGACACCCCTGTGGTCACTTTGGGGACACCCCTGTGGTCACTCTGACATTGAGGACACCCCAGGGGGGTCACTGGGGTCACCCCAGTGGTCACTCAGACATTGGGGACACCCCTGTGGTCACTCTGGTGACACTGGGGACACTCTGTGGTCACTCTGGGGGCGTCCCAAGGGTCACTCTGACACTGGGGACACCCTGTGGTCACTCTGGGGACATTGGGGACACCCCGGGGTCACTTGGGGGACACTCCAGTGGTCACTCAGACATTGGGGTCACTCTGTGGTCACTCTCAGGACACTGGGGACACCCCTGGGGGGTTCACCTGGATGGTCTGGGGGTCACTCGGACATTGGGGACACTCTGTGGTCACTCTGGGGACATTGGGGACCTTTGGGGGTCACTCAGATCTCGGGGTTCCCCCCCTTTGGTCACACTGGGGACGTTGGGGACACCCCAAGTGTCACTTTGGGGACACTCCAGTGGTCACTCAGACATTGGGGACACCCTGTGGTCACTCTGGGGACATTGGGGACACCTCAGGGACATTTGGGTCACCCTGTGGTCACTCTGAGGGCACCCTGTGGTCACTTGGACATTGGAGACACCCCAAGGGTCACTCTGGGGACATTGGGGACACTCTGTGGTCACTTTGGGGACCCCCTTTGGTCACTCTGGGGACACCCCTGTGGTCACTCTGACATTGGGGACACCCCAGGGGGGTCACTGGGGTCACCCCAGTGGTCACTCAGACATTGGGGACATCCCTGTGGTCACTTTGGGGACATTGGGGACCCCCCTGTGGTCACTTTGGGGACACTCCAGTGGTCACTCAGACATTGGGGACACTCTGTGGTCACTTTGGGGACATTGGGGACACCCCGGGGTCACTTTGGGGACACCCTGTGGTCACTCACACATGGGGGTCACTCTGTGGTCACTCTGGGGACATTGGGGACACCCCGGGGTCACTTTGGGGACATTGGGGACACCCCTGTGGTCACTTTGGGGACCCCCTTTGGTCACTCAGACACTGGGGACACTCTGTGGTCACCCTGAGGTCCTTGGGGACCTTTGGGGGTCACTCAGATCTCGGGGTCCCCCCTTGGGTCACTCTGGGGACACCCCAGGGGTCACTCTGACATTGGGGACACCCTGGGGGTCACTGGGGTCACCCCAGTGGTCACTCAGACATTGGGGACACCCCTGTGGTCACTCTGGGGACACTGGGGACACTCTGTGGTCACTCTCAGGACACTGGGGACACCCCTGGGGGGTTCACCTGGATGGTCTGGGGGTCACTCGGACATTGGGGACACTCTGTGGTCACTTCGGAGACCTTGGGGACCTTTGGGGGTCACTCAGATCTCGGGGTCCCCCCTTGGGTCACTCTGGGGACGTTGGGGACACCCCAAGTGTCACTTTGGGGACACCCCAGGGGTCACTCGGACATTGGGGACACCCTGTGGTCACTCTGGGGACATTGGGGACACCTCAGGGACATTTGGGTGACCCTGTGGTCACTCTGAGGGCACCCTGTGGTCACTCGGGCATTGGAGACACCCCAAGGGTCACTCTGGGGACATTGGGATACCCTGGGGGTCACCCTGTGGTCACTCTCAGGACACTGGGGACACCCCCGGGGGGCTCACCTGGATGGTCTGGGGGTCACTCGGACACTGGGGACACTCTGTGGTCACTCTGGGGACACTCTGGTCACTCTGTGGTCACTTGGAACTTGGGGACACCCTGTGGTCACTCTGGGGACATTGGGGACACCTCAGGGACATTGGGGTCACTCTGTGGTCACTCTGGGGACACCCTGGGGGTCACTATGAGGACATTGGGGTCACTCTGTGGTCACTTTGGGGGCACCCCTGTGGTCACTCTGGGTCACCCCGTGGTCAGTCTGTGGTCACTCTTTGGTCACTCTAGGTCACTCTGGGGTCACTCAAGGTCACTCATTGGTCACTCAGGGTCACTCTGGTCACTCCTTGGTCACTCATTGGTCACTCAGGATCACTCAGGTCACTCATTGGTCACTCTGGTCACTCCTTGATCACTCATTGGTCACTCAGGGTCACTCAGGTCACTCATTGGTCACTCAGGGTCACTCATTGGTCACTCAGGGTCACTCAGGTCACTCAGGGTCACTCATTGGTCACTCAGGGTCACTCAGGTCACTCCATGGTCACTCTGGGGTCACTCTGGGGTCACCCCTGTGGTCACTCTGGGGTCACTCTGGCCGTGGCCGGAGTGACCTTTGCCCTTTGACCTCCGGCCAGGTCGGCGCCCTCGGCCCCCGCCGCCCCTCCCCCCGCCGCGGGCGA